ATACTTTGTTCTCTCCAGGGGCGCTTTTTCACTATGAAATATTTCACACCTACAAGAAAACATATGACATTTACCCTGCTGTGGGTACCAACTAGTGTATTTGAGACCCTACCGTGTGCCACCTCCTGCCCCACCCAGATCACCCTGGTGACAGCCTCACTGCACGTGTGTCCCTCAGCAGTTTCACTTTGCCCTTCAGTCACTTGCTTTTTTTCATTGAACATGTTTTGAGTTTCATTCATCTAATACACAAACCTGTGTTTTTCAGTGCTGTATAGTATTCCACTGGGTGGTTGCATTTATTGGTAGGCATCAGGAGGCCACCTCCTCCAAGGCCATTTTGTTGGTGTGAGTTGAGTATGGTGTCTACTCTGAGGAATATGGAGATGGTCCAGGCAAGAAGGGCTTCAAGGGTTGATAAAAGTTCAGTCTGTAATAGAGCATCTTTTAAACAGTTCTCTTTTTTCCATGACTTAAAAAAATAATGGAGTTATTTCAAAATAGGAGTTGTTCCAAGAAAGAGCCTGAATAAGTAAAAAGAATGCCATGACTGTTATTTTATGAATTTATAAAGGCAGCGTGGTCTGTGGGTATCAATGCAGCTTAAACCTGTACACTCAAGTTTCGGTTATATGTTGATTTATATACCCATGCATATTTAAGTCAGTTGATATACTCTCATTTGGAGTTTAACTCCCATCCTTGAAAAAGATCTGGAGCTTAACCCCATGTGTTTTAGAATTGAAGATATTAGTTGAAAGCAGTAAAGGTGAGAAGATGGGGGTTCTAGTCCCAGTTGCACCCCTGAGTAACTGTGACTCCAGAAAATCACTTGAATTCTTTGAGCTTCCATTTCCTGATCAGCAACACGGAGACCATGGGACTTGCCCCAGTTCCTGAGGGTCTAATGTAAAGCCCACCAAAAGCCTGACCAGGGGTTCCCCTGGTTTATCCACCACATTCTTTCTGGAAGACAAAACCATAAGCCCACCTTGAGGGGTGGGAGGTGCAGGCAGTCCACGTTTCGTGCTTCTCCTGCGTGCTGGAACCTGGGTCGGTGCTTCTTTACGTGATTCCATCCAGCCTCCCCGCAGCTCCGAGAGCAGATGTCAGCATCCGCACCGCACACAGAAGGCGGTGGGGCTGGGCGGGGCGGGGCGGGGTAGGGGCTGGAATTCAAGTGCAGGCCTGTCTGCCTGCAAAGAGCAAGCCCCTTTCAGACTGCCCTGCGGCGGCTGCCGTTGCTGAAAATTAAAACAAATAATAATTTAAAAGATAATGATAATCATCAGAATAAAGTTGTTGGGGGCTGGGTCCGATTCTCCGGGTCGGGCCTCCAGCAGAGCCTCCCTAGAGAGTTTCAGAAAGCTGTCTTGGTGGTTTCTGATAAAAATGTAAACAGCTAAGACGTACGGCCTCTTTATTCAAGTCGAGGAATATTGGTAAGTGATAAAAATTCTTACATGAAAATGTAGACAGAGGAGATCACTTGAAAACTCAGAAATATCCAGAAACCAAGATGCGCTTCTAGTTAGTGATTTGAATGTTCTCTGAGTTGAGTAATCGGGGAAACTCCCTCTTTAAAAAGTGCTTTACTGTGCGTGGTATTTAGTGAGCTAGTAATTCAGGACAGAATTTAAGTCTCACGTTTGTTAGTGGACTTTTCTGAGAACAGAAGGGCAACGACTGGTCTTGAAACAGGTGTTGACTTTGTGTCCAGATGCCTCTGTCATCAGTCCTGGGACCTGCTTTCGGTCACAGGTCCCCGATTATCCACTCCTGGTGTTGCTTCGGCATCCAGTTCACATCTTAACAAGTCTTAGGCACGAGGAGAAGAACCTTGCAAAGCATTTGATGTCAAAATTATAAATGCCTTTCTTAATAGAAGCAGCCAGCACGGCAGCCATAAGGGTGTCAGGTAAGAAGAGATCAGAAGACACCGATCCTAGTCGCCCTGGCTAATAGCTCTACCGACAAACTCAGTTAAGATCCCAGAGCTACATTTTTTAAAGCTACCAAAAAAAAAAGATTTTAGCACGCGTGGGCTTCTTGGCTGTTTCTGAACGGTGCCAGAGCTGGGAGGTGTTTGTTTTCTCTTTGTCATGGTGTTTACGCCCCCTGGCTGGGCCACGAGTGAAAATGCATTAAATGACCTCCAGTCCCTAATGGATGTTTGTCTAAGTGACAGCTCCCAGCTCAGCGCTGTTCAGCTCGGGAACAGTGTCGCCAGCCTGGTGGGAGTGTGTGCTCCGGGTGCCGTTGGGGACCCTTCCACAACACTTCCTCCTCTCAGACCCAGCTTTGGAAGCTCCTTTCGTGCCCGTCTGTCTCCGCAGGGCCTCCACTGAGGAGTCCGGCCATTAATATTTATTGAATCCGAGAATCTCAGACCTGGATTATCCCCCGCTGTGAGTCTAGTGCTGGACTTGCTCTTAGGAGCCCAGGCCTCTCATCATTGACAAGGACAAGCTTGTGGACAATGGGAAAGTGCCACTCAGGACGAGGATGGCGGGCTGCCCTGGGATCCTGTGGATGGGGGTGCACAGGGCACCCCTTCATGGCTGACGGTGAGCTCGGTCAGCACCACGGCTGCTCCTCCAGATGTGTGGCCTCGGCTGCGTCCTGTTTAGCAGAGCACACCCGCACATCCATTTCATCAGCGTCATCCTCAGCGCTGTGTGCGGGTGTCCAGGCACAGCAGGGCCTTTGGGGCCCAGCAGGATGGGGCTGCAGAGGCCGCCCTGTGCCGACCTGGCCGCCAGCACTGAAAGGGGGCCTGGATGCGAGCGCTGACAGCGGCCCAAGGCTCAGGTGGTCCTCGGCCATGAGTTTAGCTCGGCTCTTTGAGTAATTTGTCACGCCTGGCTCGGCCCCTGCTGGGCCCGCACGTGCCAGCTCGGTGTCAGAGCGCCTGTCCGCCAGCCGGCCGCTCAGGCCCGGCGTCCTGCTGTTCGCGGCCCAGCGGCTCGCAGGGGCCGTGCTCAGAGGGCCGCGCACAGCGACAGCCAAGTGCTGTGCAGAATGAGCGTGTTCGTAATGAGATGTGAATGGCATCAGTGGGTCCCTCCAGACCCAGGCCCGAGCGGCGACGTTTGGCAGCCGGTCCATAGGAGCGAGTCCCGGGGACTTGCGCCCGCAGAGCAGGCCCCCGCGGCCCAGGCCTCCGGCTGCTGTGACCGTCCATACAAAGGATCATCCTTCACTGGGGGCCACTTTCAAGTCTTCAAACTCATTTTCCTGTTTGAAAGTGGCATAGAGCCAGGTTGAAAAGAAACTCTGGAATAGCACCGCCCGGGAGAGCTTCCCACGGTGACAGGCGTGTTCTGTACCCGCGCTTGGGGGGCCGAGCAACTGAATTTCGACTTCTTCAGTCAATTTAGATTGAAATGTAATTTCCGATGGCTCCTGGCTACCGTGTTGCTCAGCACAGCCCTTGGTGCCTCTGATCCCACAGGCTGGCAGCCTTTCTCTGAATGTAATTGAAGGAAGGGGAGAAAGAACCTATCCTGAGAAATTCATGTGTGTACTTTGCCAGAGGAAGATAGAAAAATATTTTCCTCTTTTAAAACACTCACCAGGAGTGGGTGCAGGTCAGTGGTAGAGTGTGTGCTTAGCATGCATGAGGTCCTGGGTTGTTCAATCCCCAGGACCTCCGTTGATATAAATACATAAGCAAGTAACCTAATTACCTCCCCCCCAAGAATAAACAACAACATAAAACACGTGCCTACTGACTGCCAATTGACATAATCTTCACCAACTTATGTTTTGAAAGAGGCCATTTTGAAAAGTTAGTTTTAAAATACAGTGAGAAATGCTGAAATTACTTTCGCCTCTCCGGAGCGGCGAGCAATGAACGGGGTGGTGACCCGCACTGCCTGTGCTCCCGGAGAATTAGCACGATTTTGCAAAACGACTAAAACACGTGTGTTAACTTGCATCGATCACGAGGACGGGGGAGTGAGGACGCCGACTTCCCGAGCGTTAGTGCGCGGAGCCGGGCGTGCGGTGCTGGGTCCTCTGTGGGCCGTCCTGACGCTGTCCTGCCGTGGGACGGCGTGGTTCACCCTCCGAGGAGACAGAAGCCGCACACGAAGGGGGAAGGTTTGCTTTCTGCCCGTGAAAGGCTGCCATGCGCAGGGGTCCTATGAGGGCAGCTGGGAAGTGGCTCCAGCGGGTTACGCTCGTAAGTCTTATTGGTGGCTGGTTTTTGATTACACATTTGAATGCGTGTGTTCCAGACTGCAGTTTTAATTAAAAGGCAATAGTCTTTCTTTTTTTTTTTCTTGTGTTGTCGTCCCTCGTCTACGTCTTCCTTCCCTACCCTTACTTACGTTCTTTACTTTCTTCCTAC